TATCTCATTATAATCACCATCATCTTTCTTAACTTTATATTTTGAAGTCCCACATTTAGGGCACTTATTCAACCCTTCATACTCATTTCTGAACAATATACAGTCATCAGGGCATGCATGTATCTTCTCATATTCCAAACTCATCTGACACAAAATTTTCTTCGCCTCATACATTCATTTTGGAAGTGAATTCCCTTTTGGAAGAATATCACTCAACAGTTCAAGCAATTCCGTGAAACTAGCATCGATCCAATCATTTCTTGCCTTCAGGTTCATTAATTTCAACACAGTTGTCAACCTTATGTAATCATCTTTACACCCTGAGTACAAAGGCGTCTCTGCATCACTACACAAGATTTTACATGTGAGAGAGAACTGTGTAGAGGACTCAGACCATATGTTACGAAACATATATGAAATTATATCACCAAAGTCTTCATTTACAACTTTCTCCTCTCTAAAAAGTGTTCTCCATGCCATATCCAATTTGTATACCTCAAATTTATTCCATCATAGATAAGATGCTCTCTTATCTTAAGAATACTTTGCCGACTATTGTTTAAGCATTTGACACAAGAATAAGGATAATAATATAATCCATCTCTTTTACTATCGGCATTTCTCTAAGCAAATTTAAGAAACCTTTCAACTCTATCCTCATATTCTTTGCTAATTCTCTTAGCTTTCATCCAATTACAATCCATTATTCTACAGAGTCAATGAGCATAGTGTAATTACTTTTTAAAATTAGATTAAGTAATTTCTAAACAAATAGTCATATATTGTGAATGAGCGAAAATGTTGATAAAAATATATAATCAGAAAAACATATATAAGTTTTGTAAAATAGTTAATAATAAATTATTTTTATTATTTTAATCAAAATTAAAAATATTCTTCATAACATATTTCAACATGCATAAAGTTTTATAAAATTTTAAATTAATTTAATATAATTTCTTTTGAAACACTTAGCTTGCTTCTAATTTAATGTCATAGAAAAATAAAATTAGATTTGTATCTAAAATTTAGCTTTTTGTAAAAATAAATTAAAACACATACTTAAAGAAATAAATTTTTTGTAAAAATATTATTTCCTTTAAGTCTTCCATTCTAATTTTCCCTATAACAAATCCTAAGTTATTTAAAAAATAGACAAATCAATCAATCAACCAAACCAACAATGTAATAAATAAAAATAGGATAAATTTGAAGAAATATAACAAATAAAACAAAAGTAACAATTCAATCTCACACCAGTTCAATGAATAAAGATTCTTAAAGCTAAAACTTCTGAATCCAAAATGAGTACCATGAAATTATAAATAACACTTTATCATTAATCAAAGTTCATAACGGAAAAAAAAAATTCACAAACCACTGAACAGATTATTTATTAGTAAATTCTCAAGTTTATTACTCCCTCCGTTCCTTATTATAAGAGACAAATAACCGAAGTACGTTGATAAAAAAAACAGTTAAAGTTAGTTAAGAACAATTAATGTATAAAAAGTATAATTTTTTTCCAAAAATGCCCTCATTAATAAGGAGAGAGAGCATGAGAGAGAACAATTAAATTATTAAAAGAAAGAGAAGTGGGAGGGAGAGAGAGTGTGAGTTGGAGATAATAAATATGGGTAAAATAGTAAATCAACACAAAAAAGTAGAGACAACTTGTAAGTGTCTCTTATATATAGGAACATGGCATAAGCATCAAGTGTCTTTTATAATAAGGAACGGAGGGAGTACAAAAAAATACCAAAAAATTGAAATAAATATCAAAAAATTATAAAAAAATAAAAAACTTCAAAACTAATCAACTTTAAACATTTAAACGTGTTTCTAATGCCGTATATAGGAAGGAATTGAGGTTTTCTAACACTAAATGCCACCAATCAAGAGCTCAAGCACATGAAAAACGCAAAATAAACAATGCAAGACATTTAAAATGTAAAACCAATCAATCCATTTGCAATACAATAGATTTTTATGGTCAAAACATCCAAGAAACCAAGAAAAAATAAAAAGAATGAAAGAAGAGGATACTTACTTAGTAGAGACAATTCAAATGAGAGAATATGGGCAACGAAGACGGCGGTAGACGGCGGCAAGCAACCATAAGTGAAACTGAGGGGTTTAAACGGTGGGAACGAGGAGGGAATGGCCGATAATGGCAGTTCGGTGGTGGTGGGACAGAGGGGGACCACAGCACACTGATATGCAACTGTGAAAATGTGAAAAAGAGAACCCTATAGCGGTATATTTTGAAACTTTCCATGGCGGTTATTTAGAAAATCGCAGTGGAAGTGAAGAGTTATGTAATTTATTTACAAAAATGCCACCGCTTTTTTTTTTCACAGTGTTTTTCTTCTTAACTGCCGTTGTTTTGCGTTGTTATATGTATATAACATAAAAAGTCATGTATGCTCTGTGCACAGTGTCTTTATCCTAAACCCTACTTGGCCATCACCTGTTGAAGCATATAATATAAAGAGGTAGCTCTCTTCGCACACCACTCTTATCAAACTTCAATCACTCTTCTCCAATTTAAGGCTAACCCTTTTTGATATTACATATTTGTCCAAAGCCCTCTTTAGCTCCTCCTTATCCATAAATGTCATACCCAATATTAATAATGGGTTGTTACTCGACTCCTTATTCCCTCTTAATTCTTTTAGAGGCCCATCATCACAATATAGGCCCAACTCCTCATCACTATCCTTACTCCCCACACTGACATCCTTTTCAAATTCACTCTCAACACTCTTCTCAGTGTCAGAACATCCACTTTCAGCAACATAATTTTCATCTTCACAATCTGAATACTCTGGAGTATTGAACTGTACCATTTGGCCCATGATCTTCATCTTCATCAATTTCATTTCCAACTCGCATCTCCACATGCGAAAACACTCTACATTCACCTATACCTCCACTCTCATCATTAACGGCATCATTTAAATGCCCACTAACCTCCCCAATACTAGTTACTTCATGTACTTCATTCACCTCCTAATCAAACAACCCTATTACAAGTTTCAGCTTCCTGTGTACTGGTTTTAGCTTGCTATTTACCTCACCCTCTTTACTACTATTACCCTCTTCTATGTCATCATACTCCTCAACGTCATCTAACCCATCCAGGCCCTTTTATATCTTCTAACCTCGCCTACTTTTCTTGTAGTGATTCCTCTGTCTTACCCTTTTACCCTTCAATGTTAGACATGCCTTCCACATTAGATGGCATTATCACTGCAATAAACAAAACAAAAATCACAATTAATGGAGTGCTTCGATGGCATTATACTATTCAAAAACCAATATACAAATTTCTGGGTCCCATTCGATGCTCACTTGTTGCTTTCGCCTACTTCGTCTTTCGCAATCTGTAACCCTATCAGAGAATCTTTTCACATGCGTTGAGGATTCCCACCACACAGACTTCCACTCTCTCTTACTTTATCGCTCTTCGATCACTTCTTCATCAAAAACCTTATATTCCCTCTTTGATCTTTACCCTTTTCTACCTTCACTCTCTTCGATCTTTTCCTGCCACACTATTTTGTTAGTTTCCTCAAAGCCTTTCCCTCTCCTTACATGTGATTCTAACATCCTCATTGTAAAGTTTACTCCCTACCACATTTCATCTTCCACTCAAATGTGAGAGCCACATATTATCTCATCATCTTAATCAGCCTCCATGTCAACTCACTTGAGTCAACATTTTTAATCTAATGGTCAATGTGGGCCACTTTAATGGAAGTTGCATTTTTGGGCTGTTTTTGAGGTAATTTCGAATCAAAAAATTTACCATAGTGCCTAGTGCTCCTTTTGGCAATTACGATAGGCAAATTTGCTCCTTAACCCTATATATAATATTTTGGGACTATAGACTCCCATCCCATGTCTCGTTCTATCCTAGAACACATTTTGTCCTATCCCACATCTGTCCCATCTCAAAAATTTTCAAGATTGGATATGCCTCGAGATCAGGACGGGATGACCAGAATGAGAAAACTTAAATAGCCTTACTGAAAAGTAAATTGAGGGTGTTTGTCTGAAATAGACCCTCTCACTGTCCCTTTTCTTAGAATCTTTTAGTATCTCTTAATCCTTTCTGTCCATGTGATCCAAGAGTTAACAATGCACCATATCATTAAGATATTAAAAATGAATAATCACCCTCTATTGTTAGCAAATCTTGACTGCACTTTTTCTGTTACTTTATAAGTTCTTTTTTTTTTTTGTCAGACTATTGCTTTATGGGTTCTGTCGTGAGAAAGCTCCAACAATTTGTTGGTGTGGTTGTGCGGGCTCCATCCACAAGCTTCAAAGTTGTTCCTGCTCTTTATTCCAACCGATTGCTTGTCCAATTTGCAAGACTACTTTGGGGGCTATCTATTTTGATTCTTGAGAGGCAAGGTAAAGTAAAACCAGCTATTTTTTTTAAAAAAAAAAGAGATAGTAGTTTTCTTATGTTCATAGACAATATGACAAATCTTCATTGTCACATGTCCTCGTAGTTTGCTAGTTGTTGCTGCATTATAAGTAGCTTATTATTTGATCTTCTATCTACTAAGGCTCCAAAATGTATCTCGTTTGTTATGTAATATAATTGGAATTTGAACCTAAAAAAAAAACTTTTATGAAATTTTCTCCATTTAAAGTCGGGTTTTTTATTTATTAAGTTCATAAAAGATACCATAGAGCCCTTGTTTAACATTGTCGTAGATTTATTTATTATGTTTATACATTTATTATTGATTATATAAAATATGTTGCATTTTGATTTATATTAAAAAAACATTTCATTTTTTACTAGTATTATATTCTGTACTGTTTATTTGCTTTTTATATAATGTATTCGTGATTACATAAGATCAATATTGTGGAATGTTTATTTCTCCTTTCAATTGTAGTTTTTTTTATATTTAATTTATGAAATTTCTAAGTTTTACAGAAGTTTTTGTTATGTGTGTTGCATAGATTTATTTGGGAGCAGATCGTCTCAGAAGCGGATTTCTCCGTGGCTCTCAGAATCTGCATATCCCATCCGTCCATTCCATCTGAGCGTCCAAAAGGTGACACATCATCCAAATTTAAAATCGCATATAAACCGTTCATCCCATTGTAATTCTCGCCGCACATTCAATTACAAAATACCTATGGCCTCCACGAAGACACTTTCTCAGTTTGCCGTGAATTTCCAACCCCATCAGCGACATAAATAGGGAGCTCCATGGCTACCGAGGATTAGGCACTATGAGAGAATCACTATAGTTTTGCTGAAAGCAATTTATGGGGTCTGGTATTTACCTGAAGACTATTCCTCCATATCTTTGCCCTTTTTTCCACCCCTCCTCTGAATTGCGCTTCTTCCTCCATATCTTCCTACTTTGTTTTCCGTTCTTTTTGGCATTTGTCTATTTACTAGAATTCCTATAACTACTCAAGAATTTTTGAATCTTAACATGCCACCGTTTTTGAAGTGACCTGGCTTACCTTTAGTATTGTTGTATTCTAGCAAGGTTGTGAATCCAGAGAAGCTAAAATGAGGCAACCCATGCTAAAGCTGTTATGGAAAATGACCTTCACCCAATGAGAAGGAAGAAAGAAGAGCAATGTAGATGTTAGTATAGTGTTATAAAGAATGACCGTGTATTTAGCATCTTAATGTATAATATACATTGATTTTAATAAAAGTGATCATCTCCCCTTAACTTGTGCCGTTTCAATCTTTTTTTTTTTTTGTGGTACCTATCAATAAAAATTTATCTTCATCCAATGCTTCCAATGATTGTGTCGGACCATCTAAAGGAGCCTAAAATCCACAAAAAAAAGTATGCATATTATTAATATTAATAGATCAAGTCACAAAGGAATAACTTCATGCAGTTGGACAAAAAAAAAAAAAACACTTCATGCATTTTTGTTGCTATTGCTTGATGTTGGTAAGTAAAGATTGTTGTAGGCCTTTTTTGCTTGTTTGCTTTGAGAAAAGTTTCTAACAACCACTTAAATGATTCTATAGTTTTATCATATAACAAGGTTACACCAAAAATTACATTTCTTCTATAACAATTAAGTCCTGAAAACATGATTACGATTTGTGTAATATGTGCCAATGAAATTATATCTCTAAAATAAACATAATCTACAAGCATGCGAGCATCAGCCTAACAAATGTTTGTAATTTGATTTTTCATATCAATTTGATATGAATGATAAAATGAAAGGTTCTCAGTAATCTGTTCTTCAATCTAATTCAATAACCATCCAACTTCTCCGTTTGCCATACTTATTTTTCGTTTAGTCTTTAAATAATTTTTCATATCAACTCGTATGAAACTAAGATTAGCTTGTCCACTTGCTTGCTTACTCATAAGGTCAAAAGTTGCTTATTTGTTGAAGTCCAGCATCCTAGCCAAATCAATCTTGTTTGCTTGTGCATTAATTATTTTTCGTTGAGATCTCATCATGTGCACTATTTCTTGAAGATTAATAGGTAGTTATGCTCTTCTAAAAAGTTGGTGATCTTATATTTACCTTGCACTAAATTAACTGTCATTCTAGGTTTACAATTGGTCTTGGTCTCAGGATGATGGTTAGTGACTAGGTGTACTTTTTATCTGGTTTTCATTCACCTTGTTTGAACACACATATCTATATGCAATAATTATCTTTTTATTTTTTTTCCTCTTTGTCAACCCATTTTTTCTTATACTAAAGCCTACTTTGTAAGTATATCTATTCCAAAAATCCCATGCCTCCTCTAGATTATCAAATTGTTTTCATAATCTAGGAGCCAAATCAGCTTCCATAAATTGAGACCTTTCCGGCTGCACTGCTGCAGTCTTCTGGAGCACCGGTTCCGGAAATACTCGAGTTGGGAAGGCAGAGAACCACCGTATCGGCTTCATCGTGATCCACGGAGCCAGAGATGGCCGTGAGAGCCAGTACAGTAGCTAAGCTGCCAAATCTCATACGCAGTCTCCGCGAAGGTTCGCCTAAGCCCCTAAATCACGCTTTACCCTCGCTTCGACGCACTTTCTCTTTGTACGATCAGATCAATCTCATCAATAATGTTCCTGAAGACCAGCTTCGCTTCCAGGGGTAGGCTTGGATTCACTGTTAGTATTGTTAATAGAAATTTGAGGGTTTCAGTTTTTGTCGAAGAGCCTTATGTGAGATGATTTTTGTAGGAATTCTGCTAGATTAAAAAGCTTGCTATAGCTATATTTTTTTTCCTGCTTGTCCTTCCCGAAAAGTGTAATGAAACTTGGGCATAACTTGTGCTAAAATTTAATTTAATTTACCAGGTACAATGATACAGGTTTTACTGTAAATAAGGTTGAATACGAAGGAAGCCTGCTTTGTGTTGGAAATTTGCTTTTGTCTTGGAAACCGAAGAAGTTCTCGGAGATCACTTCAGACAGGTACGTAGGATGTGAATGCATCGGTTCCTGTTGCTAAAATTGTGAAGCCCAAATTGCTAAAACATGTATGCCATTTCAATGAGCATCTTTATTCCAATCATATTTATTTATTCTGGTTTCATCTTCACTTAACCCCGGGGGGGGGGGGACAACAAAGAATGAAAGAAATCTTTTTCGCCATGCTCATCTTGAATCATAACAGGCACCTTGTTTCCTGGGAAATGAGCTAGCCTTAGGTTGCAGTCATTTGTTTTAAGAACAAAGAACATACAAGAATCTATGAAACTTATTTTCCAGACATCTTTCTCTGCACAGAGCCGTTTCCTTTGTATCACACTCCCAACTTATTAACTCTGTGCAGCTGATTGGAGGTACGTCTGTCAATTAACACAAAAATTCATCTGGCCTCCATGTACATGACATGGCACCACCCCATCAGCTACTGACCATTTATCCATGATGATTGGGTTATTTAACCTATAGAATAACTTAGGAAGTTTTGGAGAAGGGGAAAGGAGCACAACTTTATGGAAGATAAGAGTAGGAAGGGAAGGATTGATAAGCAGTGGGAAACAGTGTTGATTCTTTTGGTTGGATGCTAAATGAGTACAAAGGGAAACGAGAGGATTTAATTTTTAAAATGTCAGCTACTGACTATTATCCATGGTAAGTGGGTTACTTAGCATAAAGAATAGCTTTGGGAGTTTTGGAGAAGAGGAAAGGAGTACTTTATGGAAGAGATGTACGTGAAGGGAAGGAGTACTAACGAGGGGAAAACGCTCTTGAAATTTTTGGTTGGATGCTAAATTTGAAAAAATAAAGAGAAATTAGAGGATTTAATTTGTAAAACGTCAGTGTAACACTTGTCGTGAAAAGAGCATGGGAAATTGATGGTGACAAGTGAGGAAACAAGTGCTTTTAGAACTTCTAAACAGTATCATCCCCACTTATCAGACTGAGAGGATTGGACAAATGGCTGAGGAGTTGTATTGACTATTGAGGGGTTGGATTCCCCCTCTTTCCTTTCCAAAGAAGACTTCTTCTTTCTTCCATGCCAGTCTCTCCTCTTCACTCCTTTTTTCCCTTTGATTTTTCTTGTCAAGAAATGGCTCAGAATGTAACTGTAAAATTTCCCCAAGATTGTATAATTCAACATCTTCCTTTTTTTTTTCTTTTTTTTCTTTTTGGTCACACATTGAATCCTGGACCTCTACCCACATCCCACCTCACAGGTGGTTATCTTTTCAGAAAATTTATGTACACTATGCATGTGTGGAACAGTGAAAGACAAGGAAATAAAAGTGAATTATTAAGTAGCATATGCAATTATGCATTATGCATTATAAAGATACTAGTTCCATAGCTGTTAAATATTTCTTGCCTATGTAGATATGCTAATGTGTTATTCCTTTCCTCAGCTTGTCAATCTTTCAAATTCTTCGCCCCATTCCAGGTTAGAACTCTTGGTACCATTTTTTCTTTCTGCAAGACTTTCTGTTTTTCTTCTATTTGGGAAGACTTTGGCAAAGTTTGTTATGTGTTTAATGTCAATTTCTCCAATAAAAACTTTACATATGGTTAAAACATTTTTGAAAGAAACAGTTTTTTAGTATTGTATCCAACTGTTTATGGTTACTGATAAATGACAAATATGATAGCAATTACCCAAAAAAATGTGTACCTAGACTTTTTCCTTTTTATATTCTGCTTTCTTCTTGTAAAGGATACTTCTAACTTATTTTATTAGAAATGAATGTTTATCAAATTTCTAGTATGATTTTTAGATGAATGCCTAAGAAGTTATCAGTATTTTGGAAACTTGTTATAGATAAATTAGAAGAAAGGAAATCAAAACAACAAGAAAAATTAACATCAGGTAAAACAACATAACATTTAATCTCGATTATGAGTTAGTGAAGTGTATTTTATTAGTAAAATGTGTTCTTGGGCGTGTGTTTGAGGTGATTCCTACATATGCACTTGTATTTTGCTTAGTTTCTAAGTTGGGACAATGTGCTGGTAAATAATTGTTGGAGATAAGTATTAAAAGCAAGTCTATCATCTAAAATTCATAAGAAAAAATGAATGGGATATAAGCTTGTGTCAGTCTTAACCAAGTAGCTAAGTTGTTTGGGTGATTTGAACAAGTTCAACCACCAGGCTTAATATGGTAACAGAGCAAGGAGCAAAAGACAAAAGGAAAAAAAAGGGCCTAATCACTGCAAGGGGCAAGGCCTGTAAAACAAAGTTGGGTCTTTGAGGTCCAAGAGTACAAAATTCCGTGCAATGAAAAATGAGGGTTGTGACCTAAGGCCTCTGAAACTCAAAGAACTTAAGCCCAAGCAAGCAGATTTGGATCCAAGCACTGACAGGTGTAGTCTTTATGGTAGATCCATGACGATTTAACTTGTAGGTTCAGAGTCCGAGATCAAGAATTGTATTCAAGTAATATTGGATTCAGTTAAAAAAGGAGCGTACCCTGTCCAATTATTTGAGGGGAAGTATTTTGGACAAGCATCAATAGAAAATCACACATGTAGAAGTCATAAACACCTGGTCATATGGACGTTTCTAGCCAAGTAGTTTAAGCTATTATGGTGATGTGGACATTTCCAAGTATAATCCCACAAGAAAAGTTAACTATTACATCTGTCATGATTCACTTGAAGTTAGTCCCTGAATGTCATCTTATATGAGTTTTCTGGTGATTTTTCTTTTGTTTTTCATTGCTTGTGTCAGGTGATTATGTGAGGTAACAAGCCCATACACTTTCTTCTTACTTCTTGGTGTTCACTTTTTAAATTGGTTTTGGTTTATTTGAATTGACTCTTCGATTGAAAACTTGTCAGAGATCTTAATCATTGGATGCGGAAGGCACATGCAGCAAGTGGATCCAGAACTTCGACGCTTTATCAGATCTACTGGCATGAAGTTAGAAGCTATAGACTCGGTATAGCTATAGACTCGGTATATATATAAATGCCTTTTTTTATAATCTTTTCCTCACTAGTTGATATCACACACGCTTTTATGTCTGGTAAAGTACTCCAAAGTATATGACAAATGGATCTTACTTGCTCACTGTGTCTCATAGGTTGTTCTTTATAATCTATTTATCAAAAATCAGAAAGTTAGCGCACTAATGTGTTTGAGGTTACTGTTCAACCTGTTAATTCCTACAGAAAAATGCTTTACTGGTAAAATTAAGAACCTACTCATATGATGTCCTAGAGTCATGTCTGCTTGCCACTATCCATTGGTTCACTGATGTTTGCAGAAACATCTTTAGTGTTCTGTTCTTCCAGCTTCATCATCAAGTTAATGCTCATTCTGTTTTTTTCCTCAAAAAGTTAATGCTCATCGATCTTTGTCTTAATTTATTCTGTCTGATCTTTTATTTCATGCTCCGTCATGTGTGCAGTCGTTGTTAACAGTGGCTTACTGGCTATTATGCCAATCTTCGTTTGAGATTTAAGTTTGATTTGTGACTGGTATGAAATAACAATACTTAGCGTGAGAGTAGCAGTTTAGGCAGATCTAAATTTATTATAATGGAGCATCTGCCTCTTTTTCTTGTATTGGTGGGGACCTTCCTGAATAGAGAAATGATCTCGTTTTTCTGCATGTTTGATGCTGTCATGACAAGAGGAATCATACCACTAGGATCAAAGTAAGTAGTGTTATGGATTTTTATAGACAGAGTAGTAATTGAATTACCTCCAATTGGCCTCCAAACCAGTAGCACAGCCTTTTGCTGTTGGACTAGCCACAACAAAAATAAAATTAGAATAACCAAATGATGGCACACTTAAAATGCATTATATTGTAAAATATATATATATTTAGTGTAGGTTTCATGAATGTGAGAGTGCTCTTGGATATATTGATGGATGCAATGACTGTATGATACAGATTATTTTATCCAAGTATCGACTACTATATGAATTCTTGGAGAAGAGCTAAGAAGCAATTCATTATTTAAAGGTGAGGGTAAAAGGCCCAATCTAGTAATCCAAGATGTCAGCAACTCCTTCCTCTCCATATTCTTCTGGCCTCCCCTGATAGCCAGTCTCCCCCTTTTTTCATCTGCTCCATTTGTTTGATGCAACCTAACCAGATCCAACTTGCCATTTTCTCATTCCCCAAATAACCATCATTCATTTCTTGTTTTCTTCCTAGCAAAGGCCCTATTACTTCTCAACCTACTCTTTTTACACACGCACTCACGCACTCAATATAAGGGTTCTAAAAGTGTGTCACTAGTTAAATATTACTGCAAGACTAAAGGTTGGATTTATTTTGTGGTAGTTGGTGTCTTTGATGATGGCACCATTGAATCTTGGCTCTCTTGCAAATTACTCTACTCCGTTACCCAAGAGCACATTGTGATTCTGTTGAACCGGAGCCCAAATATATTTATATGAAAAGAAGGCCGAGGCCCAAGATGTGAGAGAGGGGTTGTTATTGTAAACAGGGGTATTAAGGTAATTTGGGGTAGTGACGGTTAGTACTGGCGAGGATATATGGCAGAGTTGGTTAGGGAGGGAGGTATGGAAATTATGAGAGAGCTGTGAGGAGAGTGGTGATCTCGAATGCACTAGGTTACTGGTCTTTTTTTCTCTGTAGCTGTGTTCTCCATCAGGTTAAGCCCTGAGGAGTGTTATTTTTCGGTGAATAATACTATTTCTGGAGTTGTTTCCAACAAAGGTATCGGAGCGGTGAGATTCTAGTATGGTCAATACTTGACGTGAGGTGCAAATGGAAGAAATGAACACACGCATGAATGAGATGTCTACTCGCATGTCCCATACTGAACAGAAGGTGGATTGAATGTGTGATGAGTTTTCCGTCATGCAAACGATGATGGCGGAAGTTCTAGCTGAGCTCCGGTCTGGGAAGCGCACCGATTCTCAAGGGACTTCCTTGAATGAATCAAACTCGATAGGAGTAGCCAAGGAATCGAAGACGGCACAAGATTCTAAAGTCATTCCGGTTGACGGGGACGACTCTGATCATTCGGCGTATCGGAAACTCAATATGCCATTGTTTGCGGGTGAAGAGCTGATGGGATGGATTTTCAATATTGAAAGATATTTCAGGATCAATAAGGTCGTGGACACGGACAAGTTAGATGCGGCTGTGCTGTGTTTTGAGGGGTGAGCTCTCAACTGGTTCCAATGGAAGGGCTGGTGGCTGATTGGAAGGAGCTGAAGAGGGACTTATTGTTACGTTTCCATCCCTCTCAGAGTGGGTCTACCTATGAAATGCTAATGGCACTACATCAGACTCGTTCCGTCGCTGACTACATTGAGCGTTTTGAGCTCTTATCCGCAACCTTGCCAAAATGCGACGAGGCCGTCCTGGTCGCCGCTTTCTTGAACGGATTGAGGTTGGACATCAAGGCAGATCTTCGATTGATGAAGGTGAGCTCTCTTTCGGAGCTAATGGATATGGCATTAAGGTTGGAGGAAAGAAATTGGGTCATGACCCAATATCCACATGGACGAAGCAATGGACCCCCACGCACTTGGGCCGATGACAAGGGGTCGGGTTCTCAGAGTTACACCACGTGGGTTTCAGCATTAGCTGACGCAAAGCCCGTGCAGTCGCCAGCACCAACCACATCAGTTGTGGATTCTAAGTCAGAGAGCGCCAAATCGGTGTCCATTCCCATGACCCACACAGCGAGGACGATTCCCAAGAAGTACACTGACGTGGAGATTGAACGGCATCGAGAGCTGGGTTTGTGTTTTAAATGCGACGAGAAGTACCGGTCAGGTCATAGATGCAAGAAGAAACAGCTACAAGTTTTAATACTTTCGGAGGAACCAGAGGGAACCGAGGGACTACTGATGGAACCGGAGGCACCTACTAAGTCAGAAACAAACGTAGGAGTGGCCTTGGAGGAAGAAGAGGTGCCCACAGGGCAGCTTATGTCCTTATCCTTGAATGCACTGGCTGGTTTTGCAGGAGGTAAGACGATGAAGCTAATGGGATCTATTTGCGGTAAAGACGTCTTAATTTTGATTGACTGTGGTGTTACACATAGTTTCATAATCAGGATCTTGTTAGAACTCTTCCCCTTTCTCTCGACACTAATGTCGCCTTTACTGTGCAAGTCGGCGACTCTCGTAATGTGCAGGGTCAAGGTGTTGTTAGAGATGTCTCAATATATGTGCAAGGCCTTCATATTATACACTCACTGTATCCCTTCAAGCTGGGAGGTTTAGACATTATACTTGGGGCCGATTGGCTGGTGACTCTTGATGAAGTTTTGGTGAGCTGGAAACGGTCTACTCTTAAGATTGACATGGGAAGTGGTGACTGGGTGTGTCTCAGAGGGAACCCAGCCTTGCAGAAAACGCCGATGACTTTCAATTCACTGTGTCGCACTACTAAATATAATGAGGATGTTTTCTGGGTTGAGCTGTCGGAACTCAAGATGACCGAATTTTCTATAGCACTCCTCCTAACGTTTGGCCTTATAGGTATCCGCATCATTAGAAAACAGAAATTGAGCGCTTGGTGAGTGAAATGCTGACAGCCGGTATCATTCAGCCTAGTAAGAGCCCATTTCTAGCCCGGCTCTCTTAGTTAAAAAGAAGGATGGTAGCTGGCGGTTTTGTGTAGATTATCGGGCTTTAAATAAAATCACAGTACAAGACAAGTTCCCTATCCCAAGCCATTGAGGAACTATTGGATGAGCTAGGTCAAGCTCAAATTTTTTCGAAGCTTGATTTAAAATCTGGTTACCACCAGATTCGCATGAAACCAGGAGAAGAAGCTAAGACTGCTTTCCGTACACATGATGGTCACTACGAATTCTTGGTCATGCTGTTTGGCCTTAAAAATGCTCCATCCACGTTCTAGTCGCTTATGAACAACATTTTCAGGCAACACCTGAGGAAATTTATCCTGTTTTTCTTCGATGACATACTAGTCTACAGTGAAGATAGGGGTACTCATCTGCAACATCTGCGCATCACTTTGCATATTTTGCAACAGCACTCGTTGGTCATAAACACAAAGAAATGTGTTTTTGCTCAAACACAACTCGAATACCTAGGCCATATTATTTCTAAAGAAGGGGTACATGCAGATCCTTCTAAGATTGCTAGCATGAAGTCTTGGCCTGTTCCAACCACCTTGAAGAGTTTGCGGGGTTTTCTTGGCTTGACTGGATACTACCGGCGTTTTGTTCGCCACTATGGACTCATCGCTACCCCCCTCACCGCATTGCTAAGGAAAAATGCTTTCTGTTGGACTAGTGAGGCACAACAAGCATTCGATAAACTCAAGGAAGCTATGTCATCAACCCCCATCCTAGCACTTCCTGATTTTTCACAACCATTTATTGTAGAGACAGACGCTTTAGGTACGGGGTTGGGTGCTGTTCTGATGCAATCTGGGAGGCCGTTAGCCTACTTCAGTTATTCTTTGTCTTCTCGCCAACGTACTTGTTCTGTGTATGAGCGAGAGTTAATGGCTATAGTATTTGCGATTCGCAAGTGGAGATATTTCCTATTAGGAAGGCCATTTATTATTCGGACTGATCAAAAGGCGCTGAAATTTCTTTTGGAACAGCGGGTATTAGAAGATTCACAGCAAACTTGGGTCTCTAAATTGCTTGGATATGATTTTCAGATTCAATATAAGCTTGGTAAATCGAATTCAGCAGTAGATGCCTTGTCCAGAAAGGGTGAAATTATGGAGTTACATGCTATATCAGTATTACAGCCAGCTGATCTCAGTGCTTGGGACCAGGAGGTTTGGCAGGACACTACTTTGGCCCAACTAATACAGTCCTTGATGACTGGTCAACCTGTAAAGGAGGGCTATACTTTAAAAGGGGGACATTTGTTTTTTAAGGGATGCCTCGTCATTCCTAAAAACTCTTCCCGTATTCCTCAGCTGCTGCGTGAGTTCCATGACTCTCCTATTGGAGGGCACTCTGGGTATCTTTGTACTTACAAGCGACTATCAGGGTTGTTTTACTGGGATGGTATGCAGCGGGATGTTCAGAAATATGTGGCTGCCTATGATGTTTGTCAGAGAAATAAACATTTAGCACTTAGCCCAGCTGGGTTGCTCCAACCATTGCCCATTCTTGATAAGGTGTGGACAGACATCTCAATGGATTTTGTGGTTGGGTTACCGCGATCTCATCAGTTTGACACGGTTCTGGTGGTGGTGGATCGTTTCACTAAATATGCTCATTTTGTACCTTTGAAACACCCTTATACGGCTTAAGAGGTAGCTGCTGCGTTTATAAAGGAAATTGTCCGGTTGCATGGATTTCCTCGCTCTATTGTATCTGACAGGGACAGGATCTTTCTTAGCAACTTTTGGAAAGAACTTTTTAAAGCTGCCAATACTTCGCTGAGATATAGTTCCAGTTATCACCCACAAAGTGATGGACAAACTGAAGTGGTGAACAGGAGTTTAGAGACCTATTTGCGCTGTTTCTGTGGCACCAAGCCATCAGCTTGGACCAAGTGGTTGAGTTGGGCTGAATATTGGTTTAATACCAATTACAATCGATCTGCTGGCATGACTCCTTTCAGAGCCCTTTACAGTCAAGATCCACCAACTCTCTACAAGTTCCAAGAACCACTTTCTACTGTGGAAGCGGTAAATGAGCAGATTACCATCCGAAATTCCATCCTTGCTGAGTTAAAAGAGAATCTAGAGTGTTCACAGCAGCATATGAAGCAGTATTCTAATAAGAAGCGTCGCGATCTACAATTGGCAGTTGGCGATAGAGTGTATTTGAAGCTCCAACCGTATCGTCACAAGTCTTTGGCTAGGAAACCAAATGAGAAGCTAAGTCCTCGCTTTTATGGTCCTTTTCTGATTACTGAACGTGTTGGGGCTGTAGCCTATAAATTGCAGCTTCCATCCACAACCCGTATTCACCCTGTGTTTCATGTATCACAGCTTAAACGTTGTTTGTCTCCCTATACTACTCCTCAGTCTTTACCTCCTGTTTTAACTGAAGATATGGAAATGCAAGTTTATCCTGAGAGGGTGCTCAAACATCGCTGCATGACTGATGGTCAGGTGGAACTACTCATTAAATGGACAAACCTTCCAGACAATGACAACACCTGGGAGAATTACGATGTCATTAAACAGCAGTTTCCTGACTTTAGCCTTGAGGACAAGGCTACTCTTCATGGGGCGGGTATTGTTGAACCGAAGCCCAAATATACTTATATGAAAAGAAGGCCGAGGCCCAAGATGTGAGAGAGGGGTTGTTATTGTAAACAGGGGTATTAAGGTAATTTGGGGTAGTGACGGTTAGTACTGGCGAGGATATATGGCAGAGTTGGTTAGGGAGGGAGGTATGGAAATTATGAGAGAGCTGTGAGGAGAGTGGTGATCTCGAATGCACTAGGTTACTGGTCTTTTTTTCTCTGTAGCTATGTTCTCCATCAGGTTAAGCCCTGAGGAGTGTTATTTTCCGGTGAATAATACTATTTCTGGAGTTGTTTCCAACAGATTCATTTGTATCTTTTTTTTTTTTTTTTTGGTTCACCATGATTCAATGTATCTTTAATATTTCGTTTTATTGAATGAGTAGCAAAATTCACATAGACATGTGGTTAAAGAATGCTTTGGAAGTAACTATGTACCTAGTAACTATGTCCCTACATGTCGGGAATGATTGATACTGTGGGTTTTGGAAAAAGATAGATTGAAGGGTTGGAAGCCAGAGAGAGAAGCTTCCAACATCAGAAGCTCTTCAATCTTCTCCCCCAACTGCACCTTGTGCAATGATATAGAAGACTCCCTTGCCATTGCAAGCTGAAGATGAACTTTGCAATGCAGTAGACTTCTAATATAGGTTAGACAAGAGTGTTATCCGGCATTTGTAGGAAACCTTTACTTTATGATCGTTTGAATACAACTTCCAATTATGTTTAATTGCTTATAAAATTGTTATCAGAGCAGGTTTTTCATTGATTAGTTCCAAAGGGTTAATTTTTTTCCCCTAGAGAGCTTTACCTCTCGAGGTTAAGCCTTTGCACCAATAAATCCACTGAGGCGTCATTTTAATTAAATAATAATTAGAGTGAGGATCTCATGGCAGATCTAATTGTGAAGTTCACCTTGAGATTTAAAACTTCTTATGGAATTGTCTCAACTCCAAGCTGTAAACTAAAAGCAAAAGAACTGGCAGTCATTTTTGGAATTGATTCTCTTCCATTCCTATACGCTTAGCATTTCCCCCCTTTTTTTCCAGAGAAACGCAGCATCAACTTATAACATATTGAATGAAGAAGGTCGTATTGTTGCTGCGGCAGTTCTTCCATATGGAGTTACTTCATGAAGCCTTGATCTGAAACTCTGAGTGGAAGAAGACGAATTGGGTTTCTGAAATTCTAGTTGATTGATTGGCTTTCAAGTTAGATCTCTTTTGTTGCCACTTGGGGCTACCTCAAACAATACAGAACTAGTTACTGTTCTCAGTAAGCAATAGATCACCTTGACTCTGGCAAACCCCCTCCCCCCAACAAAAAAGAAGGGAAAAGAGCAATATATCACCTTGTCATTACTCTCAATAAATGCAAAGTTGACTTCTCACAGAACTAAGGAGATTCTTAAACCTTGCTACAATAATTTTTTTTTTTTAAAAAAAAAAGATCTCTGAGCTTTGCAATACGTAATGCATGGATCCTAACTCGATTAATAGACATACTTTTTAAGTGGCTGTTAGAGATTTTCCGCCTCTAGTAACTCGGGCATAGTTGAAATAGCCCAAGTAAAACTACATGTAATTGGTCGGCATGGCTACGCCCCGTTTTGTTTTCCCCTCAAAAGTATTGTGTAGACTTGTTTAAAAATCTCAATTTTGATGTTGTGAATATCAAATATAATGATATATATATATATATATGTACATATCAATTTCGTATTTTCAGGGTCATTTTATCAACTTCACCTTTTCTTTTCCAGGAAAAAAAAATGAAAAAGGAAAAATTGATGCTGGGTGGAATGAAGTGAGATTAGAATAGGTTTGGTGCTGGGTGGAGACCGTACTTGCCTCCACTCAACCCGTTACGCACCCTAATCCTTGTATATATTTTTTTTTAATTAAAGATATCTTATAAGAATGAAATAATTACCATTCATTCCCTACTTGATGTAAGATCTCAAGGGTAATATGGAGATATTAAAAACTAATTATAAGCATATTAGTCACAATAAACTCAAATATTACCATTCCTCTCCAAATCACTCCGATTTGGGAGAAGAGGGTTGTGAGGGAAGAAGAGGAAAAATCTTAAAAAAATTTCCCTCTGCTCATAAAAATTTAAGCAACCCTAGCAAGGGGAGGGGAGCGAAATCCCTTCTATCCCTTCCCCTTCTCTTCCTTCCCTTCATATCAAATAAGCTCTAAGGTTTACTAAGGTTATATATATTTTCCAATTAAAGAGACAAGCACTAACGGGTTGAGGAATACAATCTGCGACCTTCCACTTACAATAGAGTATCAATACCACTAAGCACTAGACTATAAGGCCTTTGGTATTATGCAAAATCAGGTGGCCAATTTTCTACTAAAACTCTTAATGTAGTTTTCATTCTAATCACTAATTAAACTTTCACAAGTAACTATGCTTCTTTGATTCACTGAGCCATTCCACATCAAGATGCAGCCCACAAGTGATGCTATCTATTACTATTAGGACTACAGATTTCTTTGAACTACTCCTGGGGTTCTTTTCGTTGCTTCCAATTTCAGACCTTTAATTACCTTTAGTAAGTTGAGGAAATCAATGTCAACTTCTAAATTATCCTTTTTTGAGTAAACTTTTATGCATTTTGATTTCCATTGGGATCAACAGACATGAGTAAAAATTCTTCGCAAAGTGAATCTCTTGGTACTTGTATTCCCGAGTTGGTTTCTAACATTTAGAAGAATCTGGTCCCACATATAGGTAAGGAAGAGAAAGAATTACGCAGGATTAGTTAACTAACTTTTTCAACCAGACTTTGTTTTTTCCTTATACAACCAAAAATCATATGAAGAGAAGGGTTAATAGAGTCATAGTCAAAAGACAAGTCATTTGAGTAGATTCGTTACCAGCAACATGGACTTGAAGTTGGTCCTCCGGCCCCATGCCCACATTCCACATGAAGAATGAGTTTTGATAGATGCCCTTTGATCCCTAATTCTGTACACATAGAATCCAGAGAAGATGTTCACTCTAGTCTTATATATAAATCTCAAATATACTTTGCCTTTTAAATTTATAATTTTTTTAAAAATATTTCTATTAATTGCACATGTCAAGAGGTTTCATTAATGGATGGATTCGATGTATATGATTAACAAGTATATTTTAAAAAAAGCCAACACTCATTTATTATAAATGATCAATTTAATTAATTTTCTTAATATCCTCAAATTAGTTATTTAGCTTTTATATTAAGAACTAGAGATAGAATATGCGTTATAATTTATTTAACCTATAGATTGATAATGTTTCTTTGATATAAGATATATAATTTAATGTTATAATGAATATTTTAGGAAAATCATGTTTCATTGGTTATAAGTAAATAATTTATCTAAATTTTTAATCTATTTAAATTAGTTACATAGCTCTTATATTAATTATTAGAGGAGATAATTTATATAATTGTGTTTTAAATCCCATGCCAAATATGGAACAAGTTTTGTAGAGGTGTGGGCCAGAAAATAGGAAATAATGGGGCTGTTACTTCTTTTTGGTTTGATAATTGGATTGATGTAGAAGGCCCTCTTATTGATTTTGTCCTAGTTATGAGGATTTGATTAACAGAAACAAAAAAGTTGCGGACTATGTGACTAGCAATCGTGATTGATTGGGGTAGAGTTAAACTGGAGTGATAATTTCCCATGTGGTTGATCATATTACTACTGCACACTCATCTCGAGAGGAGAGAGGAGAGAATAAACGCTTATAGAAATCATCGGACAATGGTTGGTTTTTTGTGAAATCTACCTGTCACTTTCTCTTTGTAGGCACACAGGGGAGACTAGATTCTATATGAAAGATACTTTGGAGATGGCAGGTGCTGGAAAAAATAAAATCTTTCATGAGGCTTTTTGTCCATCGGAGATTACACACAATGCAGCTCAAGAAAAACAAAGGTCTGGAGGCAGAAGACAACTGTCCGTTTGAGCGTTCCCAGGTGAAAGACTCCATGAACCTTCTTCGCGATTGTCCCAATGCAATTGACTGATGAAGGTCGGTAGTGTCTCCCTCTAATTGGTACACTTTCGCTTCACTTTAGGGGGAGGAATGGGTTCGATGGAATTTAATACATGAAGCTAGGATGAGCCACCCTGCAAAGATTCCTTGGGCCTTTTTTGGTTATATTTGCTGGGATATATGGACTTCAAGGTGTAATAAACTATTTAGAGGCGAGGATCCAACTGAGATGACTAGTGCAAATTAAAGTTCCTTAGGGCATCACTAGACCATGATCTGCAGCGGCATTGTAAATTCTATAGTGTGGACGGGCTACAGAGGCAGAGTGAATAACCATACCATGGAGTAAGATGTTGTAATTATTACATGTAATTGTGTCAAAGGAAACTAAAATTCCTACTTTCGTTGGTGCATGCTCCATATTTCTTGGTGCTTACTCCACTCGGTAATTTTACCCATGTGATGTGTTCTCTACTTGACAAATCTTATTACTTTAGTAAATGCTTCCTATTCTTATTCTTTCATTTCTCCTTTCCCAAGCCAATGAAGACTTGTATCCTACTTGGCAACCTCATCACTTTATTAATTACTTTTTTATCCTACAAGCATCCGTGGCCTGTAAAAAAAAGACTTGAGGCTCAACTTCATATACCAGCTCTCTTAAACTGTTGAGCTTTACTCTCTTCTTATTTGCTTACAGCTGAGTTTACTATTTATATTTTTTGCGATTTTGTCACCCTATTTTCTTGTAAGAATTGAAGGGTTCATTTAATCTTGGAGATTGCCACCTCTTATTATAATTATTCTAACTTGGTGCGACGGAATAACTCTTAAGGACAATATCCTTGGGCATGACTCGAGCCATATTTTTGTTTGTTGTTTTGTAGATTTTTCTAACAATCTTACGAGTTAGTCATGGAGCCACACAATACCTCCAATCCTGCTGGAGATACTACCGATTCTTTAGCTTACATTCTTGCTGCACTCTTATTGCCCAAGCCATTCCTAGATACTTCTAAGATTGAACAATTTGATGGAAGGAACGAGTATGCACTATCCTGGATATGCATGGGGTCGCTATTGCACTGACTTAGTCTGAGCCTTTTGTAGATACTAATCAAGGTCAAAAGGATGCTTGGACATATGCAAATAAGGTATGTAGCGTACCTTGATTAGTACTTTATCTAATGATCTATTTGATGTGTTCTCTGCCTACAAGGAAGTAGACAAAATATGAGAATCACTAGTTCTCAAGTATACTGCTAAGGATACTAACAAACAAAAGTTTATAGTAGAGAAATTTTACAGGTGGGAGATGACTGATGACAATGATATCAAGCTCCAGATCAACGATTATCACAAATTGTTGGAGGAGCTTTGAGCTGAGAATATTAACCTACCAAACAAGTTTGTTGCTAGAATACTAATTGAGAAATTGCCTAAAACGTGAGATGTTTATAAACAACAACTGAAGCACAAGCAAAAACAACTGTCACTGACAGAACTGATCACACACATCATCATTAAGGACACTAACTAAAAGCAATCCAAGCAGCGGAAGGAAAAGAGATGGCTACTAAAGCTAACCTAGTGGAAGTAAAGCTGCACAATAAGAGGTACAACTCTAAAACCAATAGAAATGAGAAATTTGATTACAAACCCAATGATTCTAAACCCAAATTCAAGAAAAGAAACAATTGTTTTCTTGTAGAAGGCCAAGTCATCATGCATCTTAGTGTAGGAAAATGGCTAGGGGAGAAAGTCCTTAACGAAAAAGTGATAATCTTCCAAAGCCAAATGTAAATTTGGCTAAAGGAAATGATGATGATAATATCATTGTTGTTATTACCTCTAATGCTCTCATGGTCTTTGATGTGAGAAAGTGGATGGTAGACTTAGGTGCTGCTAGACCTATTTATGCTAATAAAGAGATGTTTGCCTCTTTTAAAAAGGAGAAGATCACATTTATCTTACTGATTCCTAAACTTCAAAGGTTCTGAGAAGAGGAAAAGTGGTATTGAAGCTCACATCTAGAAAGACCTTAGCATTGAATGATTATATGTGCCTGATGTTAAAGATACTTTAATCTGTATAGCTCTATTGGAAAAAGCTAGGGTTAAGGTGTCATTTGAATCTAACAAGATTGTAATAACAAAAAATAATGTCTTATTAGGAAGGGTTATTATAATAAAGGATTGTTTGAATTAAGCATTCTAAAATGAATGATACATCTTCTACTTACTTGCCTGTCTATTTGATTGATTCTTTCGACATGTGGCATGCTATATTTAGGACATATTAGTAAATCATATGTAAAAAAAACTGCAACACCTGGGGCTAATATCTATAATTAAAAATGATCTTGCTAACAAATGTGAAATATGTGCAAAAACTAAGTTGATTA